CACTCTCGAATTGCACTCATCTTTCCTAGGCCGGCAAGAAACTTGGACCCCGCAAACCAACTCCGTTCGCAAGCTTTCAGTCGACTTTTTCTGCGCGTTCCTCGCCTGCACCGTCTGCGAGACACGCTCGTCGCGGTACCCCAGCCGCCAACGCGGGTACTAACGCAAGGACTGCCCTTCGTGCAAACGTGAACAGCAGTGGCACTGCAAGTAATGGCCACTCACCCATGCCGAATCAGCAGAATCCGTTACTCGCGCGCAATGTTCCATCAGCAAGTCTCATGGGTTTTCAGCAGCAAGGGCCTATGTACCCGTACGGTTTGCTTGGTGAAATGCCGCTGCCTTCACGTGGAATAGCACCACCCTACCACGGCATGCAACCGCCCTCTATACAGGGCATCCTGCCGCCTTCACTTCTGCCCAACATGCATGCGCGTTTGCCTAATGGTATGTCGCACCCGGACATTCGTGCCTTGCAAAATCTGGCGCTACCACCTAACGCCATGGCGGCTATGGTGCGTCGTCAGCAGCAACAACAGCCAGGTTTGCCTCCCCGTAAGGCTCCTCACTTACCGTTTATTTCTCGGCGCGCAGCTGTGTCGAACAGTCCGCTCTTACCTGCCTCGAACGATGGTAGATCACCCTCAAAGAATGGTTCTCCGTCTGGTACAAACGGTGGAAGTGTGTCCCCTATGAACGAGAGTGCACTAAGTGGCAGTTCCGTGCCCACTCGAAACGTTGTCCCTGTCGCGCAAAATGCTAATAATAGCAGCCCGGTGCCCGTATCGCAGACGACGCTTCCTGGCATCAGCCCTGATGTTGTCCCTATCGTCGATCCTGCCCCCGCTATCGGTACCGCTACCCTGTCAGTGAGTGTAAATGCTGCCATAGCAAGTGCGGCCGCGGCGTTGGGGGTCGTCAATGCAGGTGGGTTTGCATTCGTTCAATGTACGTCTGCGTTTCGACGTTGAAAGCATTTGTGTGCAGATAATGGGAGCATTGACGGCGATGGAAGCGCGCGATCGTGCAGGTCGCATCGTGGCGCCCCAGGTGCCTTCGGCGCGACATTTCGTACGTTTGTCCCATCTGAGAACGGTCCTGTGAAAATGCACGAGCCACCCCCTACGAAGAAAGACAACGATGCAAGGCCGGAATCCTTGCGCAAGGCGAGCCCGCTTGCACGGCAGTCTCCTCCCCATGTACCACAGAGACAGTCCCCTGTCATGGGTATGGGAACGGCCTCGCCTGCGCCTGTTGCTTCCTCTGTTGCAAATGCTACTGTCGTGCCTACTATGCCGGTCAGCGGCATGCCCTTCAATGAGCCGTTACCATCCCCCCTCGGCACTCTGTCCCCTCGAGCCGAACAGACTTCTTCGTCTATGCAGCAGTCGAATGTGGTCCCGTCGTCCACTTATATTGCGCAACAGGTGCCCGTGCCCGCGGCGTATGCATCCAACCCTTATGCGGCGATGTTCCCGCAGCGTTCATACCCAGCTATGCATTCCCAGCACATACTCCAGCAACAGCATGTTGCACTGGCAACTGGCTCTCCGTATACATATCCTGCACCGACTGCGGCCCATGCACTTCCGCCGCCGGTGCGGAAGTGCGCAATGCCGTCTTGTGAGAACTATGTGTCTGTACAGATGCGGACGGCGACGCGCTGCATGGACTGTATCCGTGCGGAGTGGGCTCACCTACGTGAATCGGCTTCTTCAGCTAAACGTGTCAAAATTGAGAATGGTAGCGGTGGGGCAGCCGCTGTGAAGCTAGAGAGGTCCGGAGAGTCAAAGAGCCAGTCACACAAGAGGAACAAGGAACAGCCCAAAGACAAGAAAAACCAGCGCGCTATCAAGCAGGACTTTGATGGCGATGTGAAGATGGAGGATGCCGAAAGTCTCTGTGCTAGTTTGCTTCTGACCTCTGAAGCAGATGAGCCCGTTGATGGAAGTATAGCCAATCCTGCAGTGATTCCCACTGCCGTGCTTCCGTCGCCCGGCCCATCGTCCGAGACACCTACTCCCAGCCCAGATACCATTAACTCTGAGATGCAACTTCAACCTCTCCACCCCCAACCACCAGGTATCGCCGCGGGCTTTCGCTCACGCTCGAGTTCGGTGCGAATGCTGCCTACGCCAGCAAGCACCCCACCGCGCACATTTGTCACGCCTTCGCTCTCCCTCCTCTCCGGTTCGTCATCACAATTAGAGGCAACGGGTTCATCCATGTCAGATGCCCTGTTGTCTCCGTCAATTGCTGCGCCTTCCTCAAGCCGCACGGTCACACCGACACCGAACGGCACGCCGAAGAACCCTGGCCAAGCCATCAGCGGGTGGGACAGCGACCTCACCGATATCGAAGATGTAGAGATGCAGCCGGCTGAGCAGACAGCATCGTCTGGCCGCAGTCAGACGCAGACACCGTACAACCCGGAGGATCCGCAGCCGGTGCAACCACACAGTGGGTCAACTGGCAGTCACAACCAACAACAGGATGCCATACAGGTAATCTATTTGGAACAACAACAGCGTCTCACAATTCGAGTACCTGCCCAGCAGCAGCAGCTTATGGAGCCGGTGCGCGAGTGCGGTGAAAAATATTGCCACAACTTACTTGGCAGCGACTACAAGTGGAAGCTTTGCGTCCACTGTCGCAAACGTGCGCGCGACTACCAGCGCCAACGACTTGGCATTCAAATCAAGGACAAGGAAGAGGATGAAGAGAGGCGCAGCACGTCTGATGGTCCTATCCAGGTAAGCTGTGGTGCATTTGTTGGGACTGCCGTCCATCTTTGGCGATTTGCGTCTTTCGTCTTTCTGCTCGCAATGCTAAACATTGTTCCAATTCTTGACAGCGTAACAAGTTCAATTTTGATGATGCCCTGAACGCAATCCTGGCGGATTCTTCACGTGTTGTGAAGGGTGCCCGCGTATGCACCATTCGCAATTGCCCCCATATTCTTCCCTCTGTCGAAGAGTATACGTGGAAGATGTGCTGCCCTTGTCGTGCGCGCACCCGGCGCAACGCGCGTGCTCGTCGTGGTGCGCCTGACCCATCTGATCCGGTCAACGGGCAGTTCAATTGGAAGCTAGTGCGTTCTACGTTGTGAGATAACATCGTACATAGTGTATTGAATAAAATAAATGCCAGGATGCACCATTGAGCCGACCGCCACGCAAGCGCTGTGCCAGTCTTGATTGTGGGCTCCTGGTGGACGGACAAGAGATTGTACCTCCTGGCATCCGGGGGTCCATTCCTGGCGACGCAGACGGCCCGTACCCGCTGTGTGAACAGTGCATCGAGCGCATCATACAGCCTCAAGCATCTAAACGACGCTTGCCGGGCTTTGCGGCTGATGTGCCCACGCAAAGGATGTATCGCGGCGTTGGAAACTCTTCGCGCCTTCCGAATGCTCACCCACGCAAGGGAGACTGGCCTTCTGGTGATTGTTCTCCGCACCACGCCAACGGTGCTATTCCTTATAGTCGTGGACCATACAAACAGTATCCGCCTGCAGGCTATGGTGGAACACCACCTGCCTCTCGGCCCTTGAGTGCGAAGAGGCCACGATTGATGGTATGATGCATCTTAGTCGCAACTTGTTTATATTCTCATGAACCATCCTTGACCGACAGGCTCGTGCACCTACACCTTATTCAGAATACCAAGGCCTCCAGTATTTACTCGCTGACTTCCGCCTCCAATTCCATTCTTTCCTTGATACGCGGCTGCGGCACTATACTATAATCGCCAAGACGGAGCAGGGTGTGGTGCCACCGGACACACCCTTCGGCGATCGGACGCCTACCTTCATCTTCGAGGGAGAGTACTCTGTTGTAGCACCGGACTACGACGTTCAAGGCCGGCAAATTGAAGTGTCTGATAATATCCTAGACGTCAAGGCGAGCCTCGCAGAGGCAACGAATCTCAATCTTCCGTGCGCGCTTTCTCTTGACATCGCATGATTTGCTGCTTTTTTTCTGATGAATCGATTGCCTCCATACAGATACCAGGGCGACCTGAGGTTCTTGCCTACGAAGCCGTCTGGGTTGTGCATCCATTTCTTCTGCCAACACAACGTGGACACCCCAAGGCGTGTTGACGACCAGGTTATGAAAGAGTCGCAAATGACTCAGGGCGAACTCGAGATCACGGTCATGGCAGACGGGTCCCATCGCATCTTTCCTGGGCAGCGTACCGTTGTACGTTTCCGGCTGTTGGGTTGAACGTGTCATTTCTATTCATTCGATAATCACCACGCTTCTCCCTGCTCCCTGTTCATTTTTTAGTCTTCTTTTGTCTTTCCGTAGTTCATTTCTTGTGTGGTATGTTTGTCTTTTCATCCAATGTTGTCCGACCTTGTCCACCTCTTCACTTTTCCCGTTCATTCCACTCCCGTCTGATTATTTCTCTCCATCATGGACAATCTCCCCATATATAAATCATTTTTTTTTCGTAGGTTGACAAATTCTCTTGGGTCTCTCGCGTATTTTGTGCATATATATACCTTCACAGTATGATTCTACTACATATGTCCCGTTTCTCTTGTTCTCTTGCCAGTCTCCCTTCTATTGCCTTCGTTACCTTGCCACTCATGATCTCCTTGCACTTCTTTCCTGTTGATGACGATGTTGCATGATCTGCTTCTCCACACATATATGTAAGACTAAAGAGTAGAAAGCTATACAGTTATGTACATGAAAATCATGAATTTTATGTGTCGTCACAAAGAAACCGCCTTCGTTTATGGTGTATTTGTCCAAACAATCGCAAGGGGATTCTTGGATGTGTGCGTTAGCAAATGACCAATGACAACATTGAATGTTCATCCTATACTCCGTGCATACAGATGCATAGTCTTGGCACATTTAGCAAGATCAAAATCAAGAACACTGTTATCAGTAAGCTTGTCCAGGGGGGCCATACAAGTTGCTTGGCTCGTTGAGACTTAACCTTATCTGGAACTTGGAACATGTCCAACCAAGAGCGCCAATTACTTATCCGATATGGTGTAACGGCTAACATTGCCGCTTTTCACGCGGCAGCTCGGGGTTCGATTCCCCGTATCGGAATTAATTCACAGTGTCTAAAGTGTCTTATTTTGGATGGAGGTGTGACGAAAATGTTATGTAAATTCAAATCTCCTTTCGGTTGAAAGCTAAAATTCACTGATGTTACTGATCAAAAAACAGCCCGAAAGTTAAACCATGACTGCGAATCACAATCACAGTGATCGAAGTCAAAGCTAACACCGTTTGTCCGTAGCAACGACTGAATTCACTAGTCATCTCTGAGAAACATCCTTTGCTGCGCTGTGTGGCCTACGATGTTTACGAAACGCTTACTAGTGCGTTAGATAAAATATACATATCGTCATCACGTATACATACGTATGAACAAAGTCCGTAAACAGACGGTTCAGCGGTATCCAAATATGAAGTTGAGGGTATCTCGCCATGTTCGCCTCACGGTCACCTTCTGCGTACCTCCATACTCATCACAGAGCCAGCCTAGATAGCGTGCGTCAGATGCACTCCACGGGCCGAGCTCAAAGGAAATCATGTCCTTGGGTAAAAGAATCAACGGGCTCGACTCGTTGTTTTCTTTCAAGAAGTCCTGGAGCACGGATAGTTGGAACAAGGTATGTGCGTGGAATGTCTGAAGAAGCGCGAGCGTCAGCCGCAGCTGCGCCTCTCTGCGCCGTATATGGTCCTCCTCGAGACTTAGTCCCGTGTCGCCGGGTGCGGGGTCGGACTGACGTGCCTTGCCCTTGCCCGCGAGTTTGGCCATCGTGCTTGAGCCGTTTGATGTCTTACGGGCAGCTGGAGTGCCTTCGATACCCAAGCCGAGTGTGCGTACATGAGATGTGCCAGACGAAGGTCCCACGTACAACTCATCCTCGCCCTCAAGATGAATGGCGCCCCACTGGCCGTCGTTCGTTGGGCTGCTCCCCCTCCATGCCTGCATCCACAGGCTAGCGCACACAACACACATATCCTCATATACGCGCCCGAAATCTGAAAATGCGAGTGCTGATTTCTCTGACGTGTTCGGTGCGCAAGCGCACGGTGTGGGCATGGACGGATCGCGCCGCAGGAGCCGCTCCACCTCGCCCCAAACGCGCAAATCGCTCCACGAGAAGCGCACGGTGGAGCGGGAGCTGGATGTTTGAATGCTTGGAGTGCTGAGCAGGCGAGGAGCGTACATTATAGGCCGCGCGGTAAGATCGACGAGGAGGTCGTAGCATGCTGGTTTATCGCGAAGAAGCGCGTCAGTCGTGCATGCTACCCAACCCCGCATGCTTGGGGCGGCGAGGCGGTCCAGGCCGGCAAGAGTCACGATGCCGAGGACCTCAACGGGTGCGGAAGCACGACCCATGTCAGGTGTAAGCTGTGCCTCGAGGCAGAGATCGCCTGCGACGTGACACAGGATACATGCAGCTTCTACAGGCGGAGCAGTGTATATAAGGATACGGCGACGGCAGAGGACATGCTTATAGAGCGGAAGAGAAGAGGGGCCGAGTACACGCAGGAGGTGAGGGAGATGAAAAGCGGGTGGATCTGAGGCATCATGAAGTACATCATCGAGCTCGGCTGCCCAGCTGTGCCATGTTGTAGAGGATGAGGATTGTGCCCGTCGTGCTTCGAAGAACTCGCGAGCAGGCTCCCAATCTGATGGTGAGGGCTCAAGCACATTTGCAGCCTCGAGTTTGGAGTATATCTGCGTCGTCAAATACTTCAACGCAGGCGTGTGTACCCAAGGTCGAGGACGGGCGGACTTCTGAAGCAAGATGCCGAGAGAAGATAATCGAAAGCCACGGTGCCCCTCCTCTGTTGTCTTCCGTCTCCGGAATATACAGACTCCCTGGTGGCCATCTTTAGAGAAATATCTGCGTTCGCGTGAGAGTGAATACACAACACCAGTCTGCTAGCTTACATGACGTCTTCCTCTACGAGGTGAAGTCCCGATGGAAGTGCACTGAATTCAAGACCGTCGAAATCTACATCTGAGGAAGGATGGTTAGTCTTCAAATGCACAGGTAGATATTCCAAGCACGCATACCTTCGGAGGACTTTAACGACCAGTCGATAATGTTGCCCCGGGTAGGATGGAAGGATGCGTGAAATATGGCGACTGCAGCATGTATCAGTGGATCTTTCCTGTGCAGAAGTTGAAGATAGATACCGAGATCCTGAGGTGTCTTTCTGTCCGCCATATTTGAAAGTTATTTACAAGAATGAGGAGGAGGACATGGACAGCGACGCCCACAATCCGATCATCCATCAAAACCGCGATTACCCGATTAGATCTATTTCCCTTTTTGGTCCACTTATGTAAGGGACACTTATGCACCTGAACTACCATGTAACGGTACCCATCTTATCACTTTGTCGTCCTGTTTCTATAAAAGCGCGATTTATCGTGAGACCCATCTCTACTTTCACCGCCATGTCTGTGCCGTTGGCAGCCGAGAAGCAGTTTGCGGTTGCAGCAGTGCGGCGCGCATGCCTTCTCACGTCTTTCGTTTTCAACAAACTCGTCAAAAATGAAACGTTGGTCAAGGGCGACAAGTCGCCGGTAACCGGTGAGCTGGCAACACAGCTGATGAACTAGAACGAGCCAATTAAACGCACGTCTACAGTTGGTGATTTCGCGACGCAAGCTATGGTCAATACGATGTTAGCGCGCGCCTTCCCTGACGATCCTATCGTTGGTGAGGAGGATGCCTCCGATTTACGTGCTGAGTCCGGTACAACAGTACGGGAACGGATCATCGAGCTTGCTAACGATGCATTGAACGCCGATCTCGAGCTTGGTGACAAGGCGTCTTGGGGAATCGGCCCTGGGTCAACACAGACCACAGACGCTCTTCTGGATGCCATCGATCGTGGCAACTTTGCGGGCGGCAGGACCGGTCGTGCGTTGCACCACCTTCTCAGTCCCTACGCGTGTTGGACTGACTATGGTCTTACTGGATACAACAACAGGCATGTGGACAATCGACCCGATTGACGGCACAAAAGGCTTCCTGCGCGGAGGGCAATACGCTGTCTGTCTCGCGCTCATCGTCGATGGCATTGTTCAGGTTGGCGTTATTGGATGCCCCAACCTCCCTGCCGTTTGGACACAGCCAAGGGGCGACGTCGGGTGTATATTTGTTGCCGTCCGTGGCCAAGGCGCCCAGCAGCTGACACTCTCCGGTGCTAGCCCCACACCAATTTCTATACCACTTTCAACACCGGGGACACTGAACTTCCTTGAATCGGTGGAGGCAGCTCATGCGGATCACGGGTTCAACGAACGCGTTTCAAAGCTCCTGGGCATTATCTGCGAGCCAACACGCATGGACAGTCAAGCAAAATACTGCTGTCTCGCGCGTGGAGACGGTGGAGCGTACCTACGCATGCCAACAGGTGTTGGTTACAAGGAGAAAATATGGGTGCGAACAACTTAGGAAATTTGTTGATTCATCTTCGCTCATCATCTTCGTCCAGGACCACGCGCCCGGCTCTTTACTGATTGAAGAGGCAGATGGCATTGTCACCGACTCGCGAGGTCAATCTCTTGATTTTGGTCTGGGCCGTACCCTGGGTGAGAACTACGGTGTGATTGCCGCTGGAAAGGATGTGCATGCCAAGATTCTTGCTGCTGTACAGCAAGCTAATACTGAAATTGCGAATGCAAAGACTTGACTTATAATAAAGAACCAAGTGTGCAGTTCATGACAGATTGATTTGACTAAATATCCATCCATTGTGGGCAACGAATTCACGAAGACGCGACCACGTGACGTTCATGGACCCACGGCACGCGTTATCCAACGATTGTTCCCCCAAATTACGAGCTGCTAACCTGATTATATATTCAGGAAACACCTGCTCGCTCGGTTAACATTGTTCCGTCCCATTCTTCTTGTTATCGAGCTCTTGGAACGCACGATCCTTCCATTCAAAGGGACCCCCATTGGTATCAGGGGATCCTGAAACCATATCTCGTTCCATGTCGGACTCGGAGACGGTTTACTCATATGCCGCTAATGGTCATTACAGGTATACAAGGACAGTGCTTGTAAGAATCTTGATTCCAGATGCGTCCGTCTCATCGTGCGCTGCGTTTTTCCATGGACCCCAGCTCCAGCACATCCACGTCTGCACCGTTGAGGTCGAGATTTTCGTCTTCAGTCGGCCGTGGTCCCGTCAATTATCCAGGCTCCACGAACGAGTCCTGCTCCTTAACAGAGCGTCTGTTATTCCATGATTATAGCGCCTTCCACTGCATCTATGCAGATATAGACTTCCGCAATCATCTGTCACAACGATGAGCAACGTTTATTCGACTCTAGATGCTTGTTGAAATTTTCTCGTTATTTCGTCTTCACCAGTCTTTTATTGCCTCATGATCTTGGCGTATCAGCTACGCACATACAGTCCCCCTACGAGCGCGAGGAATCAGACCTCAGACCAGAGGAGTATGAGAATCACTGACGTTCATGAAATAGTGATGAAGGATAATTGGACGCAACAGTCAGGCAAGCCCAGGTATGTGACTTCTTGTTGGTACGCGGTCGACGAGAATTCAAACCAGTTGGTGCGGCGCATACGCTGGTTATCTCCGCTCAAGTCGCAGAACATAGCGCTTTATCCGCGTTGGAAGGCTGCATATTCTTTCAGGAGGCGAACGAAGGCTGAGCGTCAATGCTCTGTCGCTTGGTGAGCAATATGTGAGCATTGATTAGCGGTTGTGTGCGCATATTATCGGACAAAATTTCAGTTTGCACCCTTTCATACAACTTGCAGCGTGTTATATTCGTGTTCTGTACATGCGTGCCGATGACACGCTGTCTGGTCTGGTGTGGCGTTCAAACTGATTATGAGTATGTTCTCGGGTATCCATCTGGCGCTCTTTTCTGACAATACATAGGCCTCGCTCAAGCCGCTGTTACAAACGCAGATGTCTTGGAGGCCTGTGCTGACGATGAATCGGGTCTCCTCAAAGTGCCTTATGCAGACAAGTGTGCCAACTTTGCACGCTTGCCGGAAGTTTTCGACGAGCTGTACTCTTCATCTGCACT